CCCAGAGCCCACGGCAGGGTCTCACGCAAGTCTGTCTCAAGGACCTGCGCCGGGAAGGCGCAAAGGCCAGGGGTGGAAGCTAGAAAGTCTGCGCCAGTGGGGTGGAGGATCTGAGCCAGCAGGCTGAGGGATCTGCACTGGAGCCAGGAAGCGGTGCTCAAGGTAAGGACCAGAGCTCCCCCAAAAAGGACCACAGCCGTCCTCAGCGACAGCGAGGGCCTGGGCACCTCTGGTTTTAAAAACAGCCAAGTTCGTATCAGGAAAGCCAGCTTGAGCCAACAGCCCCATCCTCCCCTCCAGTTCCCCTTCTGTGGGCCCTCCACACCCAGCACCGCGCCGGCTCAGTTCAGCTGGCTGTTTAAGTGGGCCGCCAGGTGTCAACCCACCACAGGGCCCAGTGTTCCCGGGCATGCACCTAATGAAAAATGTGCATGTTTTATTATAGTAAACTTCGTGCTCAGGTGCAGCGTGCTTTTTTTTTTTTTGAGACAGGAGCTTGCTGTGTAAGCTCAGGCTGGCCTTGAACTTACTGTGTAGCCCACGCTGGGCTTCCAGCTCATGGGGATCCTCCTGCCTCAGCCTCCCAAGCGCTGGGATTACAGTGTGCACCACCACACCCAGGTCCAATTTGCATTTTTCAAATGCACAAACCCTAAATGCATGGCTGGATTAGTACATCTGTGTCACTGTCACCTGGTCAAAGAGCAGCAGGGCGCCCTCCTCGGGCCCGGGGCCAGGCTCAGCTCCGGGCCATCCCTCCTGCCTCCCCACCCCACAGGAGCGAGTGTGAGGGTCGCCAGCACACGGTCTGTGTGGCTGCTGTCGTGCAGTGTGATGGGATGCAGGTATGGTGCCGCTTACCCGTTCTCAGGGCTGTATGATACTCCACTGTGAGGCAGCACCAGCAGTGCTGCTGTTTACAGTCTTGCAGTCCCTGCGTTTTTCTTAGAAAGCGGGCCTCTGGCGGTGTGAGTTCAGCTGCCCTTTTCTTTCTCTGCAGGATACCATTAGCGAATGGCAAACTGTGTTCTATATTGCTGCTGCTATCAATGTATTCGGGGCCATTTTCTTCACACTGTTCGCCAAAGGTGACGTGCAGACGTGGGCCGTCGGTGATCACCAGGGGCACAGACACTGAGGACGCCGCGCACCCTCCAGCCTCGCTACTCCGCATCATGTAACCAAGTGCCTTTGCACGCCCGTGTCGGAGTCCCGCACACGCGCCAGCGCCTGCATTGAATGTGGAAAGCTGTAATCATGAAGGGCCACTGGACGCAGGCTCGGCGTTAGCGCCTTCCGGTAGCGGTCTACCGGCAGGGCAGCTGGCCTCCTGCACGCCGCCCCGCAGCTGCGCAGGGAGGGGACTTGCGATCTGCGGTGCGGGCCACGCGCGGGCTGGGAGCCGCAGGGCCGGCCTGGGCCTGGTCCTGCTCACCTGCCTGGTCCCGCTCACCTGCTTGGTCCCCGCCTCGGAGCCGACATGGGCTCGGGCTGCCTCAGCGCCTGCCCTGGCCCGCCCCAGGACCACGGGGTGAATGCGACCCTGCCTTTTCATGCACCTCAGAATAAAAAAGAAAAAGCCTGGGCTTCCCTTTTCTGCCACCTCCCTGCGGCAGCCTGGGTGGCCTCCAGCCGAGGGCCAGCCGCAGCGGGCAGGCATCCAGGGCTGGCTGCTCCCTCGCACGGCAGGGCCCACGACCAAAGGGCAGGCGGCTTTGGGGGCCGCCCCACCTCAGCCAGTGTCACCATCCTCATTGTTGATTCCTGAAATCATATTTTTGCAGCTTTTTCCCTGACTCCGTTGAGGTGCCTGAGGCGCACACGTGCATTCCCAGCAACTTGCGTTTCCTCGTGTTTGTTCAGCGCCACCCGTCACATTGTCATGAATTAGAACTGTTTGATGCGATGCCTTGTGAATACTCGTATGTAAATTATTTTTAAATTGTAAATATCAATTGTTTTAAGTTGCTATGATGATATTTCTTTTATAAATCAGAATAAACCTTGTGGATCGACCTCAGGCTCTGGTACTTTCTGGTGCCCACGATGGCTATTTTTTTTTTTTTAATTAAGTTTATTGGTACATTAGTGGGCTGGTGAGATAGCTCAGTGGTCTAAAGTGCCGGCTTAGGCAAAGTGCAGGGAGTGCGGTTCAATCCCCGGCAGCACATGCCATGCCAGCGGGCTGAGCCACAAAAGAAAGGGGGGCCGGGGAGATGGCTCAGTGGAATAAGCGCTTCCCTGACAAGCGCAAGGGCCTGAGTTCAATCCCTGGTTCCGCCAAAAAAAAAAAAAAAGGTATATCAGCAATGGTCACATTCATCCCGGGGAGTCTGTACCTGGACATGATACAAACTGATGCTTCTCTTACTCCCTTCAACCCCCTTCTCCGCATTCACGAACGCTGTTTCCATTTCTTCCTTCCGTACTTTCCTCCGCCCCTCCCCGTTCCTAGTTCCGCTTCCCATCTGAATATTTTCCTCCTATTTCACAATATCCAGTATAGTTTTTGGTTCTTAGTTACACTTCCGGTTTCTTACACCGGAGACAGTGCAGCAGCAGCAGCACACGTGCCAGCAAGCTCTGTCACTTAGGAGAAAGGCCCCGAGGTGCGGCCGTTAACTAGGAATGGCCCGCGCTCATCCTTCTGCATGGCAGAGCAGGACTCCGCCGTAAGCGAGCCACATCTTTAGCCTTTCTTTGGGGCTTTCATCGGGCTGTTTCCAGGGCGGGGCTGTTACTGGGCCCGCACTAAACACAAGCGCACATTTATCCTTGTGGTTACCAGATGCTTTTAGTTCCTTTGGGGAGACACCAAGAAGGAATAACTGGACTGAACGGGACCTCCAATCCTAGTTTTCTGAGGACTCTCCACACTGATTTCCACAGTGGCCACCCCAGTCTGCACTCCCACCAGCAGTGGAAAACGGTTCCTTTTTCCCTACAGCCTCTGCAGCGTTTGTTATTGGTTAACTTTTTTTTTTTTTTTTTTTTTTGTCTTTTTGAGACAGCGTCTCGCTATGCAATTCCAACTGGCCTTGAGCTCGCTTTGTAGCCCAGGTTGGTCTTGAACTCAATAATTGTCCTGCCTCAGCCTCCCGATTTGCTGGGATTACAGGCATGTGCCACCGCGCCCTGCATTGGCTGACTTCTTGATGACAGTCATTCTTTCCAGGGTGAGATGGACTCCCAGCATCTGTCACAGTTTGTGTATAGTCAGCCCCATGCAGTCATTGGGGCGTGGTTCTTGAGTTTGCAATTAATTCATAATCCAAGGCTGGGATTACAGGTCAGAGTACTGCTGGGACTATGGGTGTGAGTGCTACCCCTGGGGTGGATGAGGAGGATACCGGCTTGCTGTCTATAGTCAGACTGCTACTGCTCCTCCCGTTTTTTGTTTTGTTTTGTTTTGTTTTGTGGTGGGGGGGAAGGGTCTACAGGGTGTTCAGGGTCTCTCTGCTAGATCAGACTCAGTGATCTGCCTGTTCACAGCCTCCCAAGAGCTGAGATTACAGGTGCATGCCACCACGCCCAGTCTCAGTTACCTTCTCAGCACGCCCTGGGGGCGGGGCTGGCACGGCAGGCCCAGGGATCGAACCCCGGCCCCTGTACCTGCTTGCAGGCGCTTTAATCCACTGAGCTATTTGGCCGGCCCTTCCATTTGCTCTTGCTACTTGCTGTTTTCCGCTGCCATGTGCCCCTCTGCCTTGGAGCCAGCTGAGTATGGACTGGAACCTCCACACACTGTGAGCTAAATAAACCTTTCCTTCCTTCATTTATTTATGTTTTTTTATTTTTTTTTAATTTTTGTGTGTGTGTGTGTGTGTGTGTGCGCGCGTGTGTGTGGCCAGCTGAGCCCACCAGGGGGCAGGGCTGGCTGGCATGTGGTGCTGGGGATTGAACCGCGGTCCCTGGGTTTTGCTAAAGCTTGTTCTAAGTAGGTGCTTTAGACCACTGAGCCATCTCACCAGCCCTCCTTCCTTCATTTTGGGTGTCAGGTATTTTGTCACAGCATGGAGAGAAGAGTGCCTGAGACAACATTGTTTTGCTTTCATCTCTGGAATGGCCACAGCTGTTGAACATGTTCTCATGTATTTACTTCACCTGAAACGTGTCTGTTCCTTTCAGATGGCCATTTTTGGATTGGTCTTTAAATCTGGTGGGGACAGTGGGGAGATAGCTCGGTGGAGTAAGTGCTTGCCTGGCAAGCTCAAGGTCCTGAGTTCGAACCCTGATACCACCAAAAAATAAGTCAATAGCTTTGGGGGGATGTGACTTTTTGAGTTCGGTATGTGCTCTTCATCATAATTCTTCAAAGAACAGCTGGCAGGACTTCTGCCCACGCGCACAGTGACGGTTACCCCTCGGCCCATCCACCGCCCTCATCTTTTCCCTCTGCCTCAAAGATATGCAAGTCTTCTTTAGCCTTGAAACAAAAACATGGGGCCGGGGAGATGGCTCAATAGGATAAGCGCTTGACTGGCAAACTCAAGGATCTGAGTTCAATCCCCGGTTCTAAAAAAAAAAAAAAAAGAAACAAAAACACAACTCCCCTGGGGGACAAAGAAGCCCATCTGTCCAGACTTAGAGAGCGGGGTCCAGGAATTCACCTGCGCACCCGTGAGGGGGGCAGCCTGTAAAGACGGGGGGGGGCGGACAGAGACAGAGACACAAAGAGACAGGGAGAGGGGGAGAGAGACAGGGAGAGGGGGAGAGAGACAGGGAGAGGGAAAGCGGGAGAGAGACAGGGAGGAAGAGGGAGAGACAGAGAGAGAGAGGGAGAGCGGGAGAGAGAAACAGAAAAAGAGAGAGCTCCCCATGAGTATGCCTGGATTTAGCAACTTCCTTCAGCCAAGAGGACATAGAAGAAATGGGATGTTGGGGCTGGTGAGATGGCTCAGTGGTCTAAAGCACCTACTTAGACCAAGCTAAGCAAAGCAAAAGCGCAGGGACGACGGTTCAATCCCCCAGCCCCACATGCCAGCCAGCCCCGCCCCCTGGTGGGCTGAGCTGGCCACACACACAAAATAAATAAATAAAAATAAATAAATTCTAAAAAAAAGTACTGCTGGGCATGGCATAGCGGGCCTTGTCTGCAACCCCAGCACTCAGGAGGCTGAGGCAGAAGGATCAGGAGTTGAAGCTCAGCCTAGACTGCACAGCGAGAGCCTGTCTTTACAAAAAGTGTGCTCATCAGTAACTGATTCCAGGACACTTCATCGCACACACCGCACGTGGACACGCCATTCTCCAGGGCCACCAGCAGTTGAAGAGCAGGCCCTGCTCCCCGGAGTCCCCACAGGGCACTGACGCCAGCCTTCAGGGTGGGGCAGCAGGGCTCTGCCCTCCCCCTGCTCCCAATCCTGCGGCCCCCCTCCTGCCACTGGGCGCGGAAGGGCTGGCTCCTTGCCCGACCCCACCGCACCCACCAGAGGTTGGCAGAAGTGAGTCACGGCTTGCACTGGGAAACTGGCCAGCGCGTCCTCCCCAGAATTCTGCAATATTCCTAACACTTTGAAAGGGTGTGTGCCGGCATCCTGGCCCACGCCTGTGAGCCCAGCACCTGGGAGGCCGAGGCAGGAGGATCCCAAGCTCAAGTCCAGCCTGGGCAACTGGCTTAGCAAGTCCCTGTGTCCAAAGAATCTCCACTTTTTGATTTTTATTTTGTTTTATTTTTATTATTAT